AGTATTATTAATAGAGCTGAAAACGAACAACAATTCAGTAGTAAATTAGTTCATGAATTCGTACCACAACTTGTCAATTGTGGCAAGAACAATGAAGTTTGGGTAAAATTAGATGATCATTTGGCTCGATTCAGTATGCAAGAATTTTGTTTTATAACAGGATTGCCTTGTCACGAGGTATTTATAAACCTCAATTTCATCAATGATAGACTCAGAAATCAATATTTCAATAGTGCCAAAAAACTTAAAATGACAATGCTCTCTTAAATCTTCCATCAATGTGCAAATGAAGAGGATAAATTCAAACTATGTTTTGTAATGTTTGTAGAATGTATCTTAAAACCTACTGGAAGACATATCGATCACAGAACTTTAGGTATGGTTGAAGACATTCATGTCTTCCTTGCATATCCATGGGGTCGTAAATCATATATTGTTCTACTAAACTCATTACAAGCATCTCATTTAGAAAGAGTACAAAGAATGTAATAGAATGAGCAAATAGAATCTAAATATTCATTACATAGATATTCACTTGCATTTCAGGTATTTTTATTTTTATTTTTTACTAATCTATATTTATTGTAATTTTTTTGTATAGATCTTATATATCTAATGTAAGTTCACAATCATATCAGTACTGGATATACGAAGCATTCCCACAAATTAGACGAAAATTTGGCCAACGTAAAAATAAAAGATACCAAATATCAAGAATGCACTAATGAACACCAAATAAAATATTGACAGAAAATACAATTAGACAATTCTTGTCTACACAACAGGTATTCCATTTATTCTATTACATTACTTATTACATAACAATATAAATGTGAAGTCGTTATGGAATCTATTTATATTGTTATGTAATAAGTAATGTAATAGAATACATGTTGTGTAGACAAGAATTGTCTAACTGCATTTTCTGTCAATATTTTATTTGGTGTCCATCTGTGCATTCTTGGTAGTTGGTATCTTTTATTTTTACGTTAGCCAAATTTTCGTCTAATTTGTGGGAATGCTTCGTATATCCAGTACTGATATGATTGTGAACTTACATTAGATATATAAGATCTATACAAAAAAATTACAATAAATATAGATTAGTAAAAATTAAAAATAAAAATACCTGAAATGCAAGTGAATATCTATGTAATGAATATTTAGATTCTATTTGCTCATTCTATTACATTCTTTGTACTCTTTCTAAATGAGATGCTTGTAATGAGTTTAGTAGAACAATATATGATTTACGACCCCATGGATATGCAAGGAAGACATGAATGTCTTCAACCATACCTAAAGTTCTGTGATCGATATGTCTTCCAGTAGGTTTTAAGATACATTCTACAAACATTACAAAACATAGTTTGAATTTATCCTCTTCATTTGCACATTGATGGAAGATTTAAGAGAGCATTGTCATTTTAAGTTTTTTGGCACTATTGAAATATTGATTTCTGAGTCTATCATTGATGAAATTGAGGTTTATAAATACCTCGTGACAAGGCAATCCTGTTATAAAACAAAATTCTTGCATACTGAATCGAGCCAAATGATCATCTAATTTTACCCAAACTTCATTGTTCTTGCCACAATTGACAAGTCGTGGTACGAATTCATGAACTAATTTACTACTGAATTGCTGTTCGTTTTCAGCTCTATTAATAATATTATATATAAATGCATGGAAGTTACTAAACATCAAATTTGACCGTTGATCTGCATTGATGAAGTTCACAAAATGTTGAAGGTACTGATAATTTGGAAATTGGGTTATGGTAGCATAACACCATTGATTTGGGGAAAGTATATATTCCAAATACATTTGCATCAAAGATTTAAAGAATTAATATACTATTTGTCAATTTAGTAATGAACTTCATTATGCTAAGTTTCGGTAAGCAATCAAAGATTTAAAGAATTAAAATATTATTTGTCAATTTAGTAATGAACTTCATTATGCTAAGTTTCGGTAAGCGAATAATATTTTCTACTATTTTAATGAAGTGGAAAAATAGGATTTTTCCTTGACGAATGGATATTAAAATATTATAGCAAGTAATTTAATTTTCTTCAAATATACAAGTAAACAAATAATTTTTATGTATTTTATCAAATATTTAAGATCCATAATGAATGAATATATATTTCCATACTTAAGAATAAATCCTAAATGAAGAAAATGAATGATATGTTTGTTTAAATAATTTCCAAATCTTATTATATATTTGGCATATGAACTTGTGATTTGATAAATGTGAACTTATATAATTTATGTGTAAAAAATTAAATTTTTTTAGATTACATCTAGGACGTTCACTCCATGGTGTAGAGGTGTCAAGACGGAAGGGTCGGCCATGACCTGTAAAAATCGGCCCGTGAAAATCGGGACCGCGGGCCAACCCATGACCCGTGCGGGCGGTTCACGGGTCAAGGAGGTGTAACCCGCGGGCTTCGCGGGTTGCACCCCCACGGGCCGCGGTTAACCCGCG